CACAGTTTCTTCATTGTGTCGATGCTCTTTACCATTTGGTATGTTTTTCGAGTGGCTGGTACTGGTTGTTCCTGTCTGTTTAGTGCTTCTTTCAGGAGCTCTTGTAAGGCAGACCTGGTGGTGATGAAATCTCTCAGCAATTGCTTGTTCTTAAAGGATTTTATTTCTCCTTTGCTTATGAAGCTTAGTTTGGCTGGATATGAAATTCTAGGTTGAAAGTTCTTTTCTTTAAGGATGTTGAATATTGGCCCTCGCTCTCTTCTGGCTTATAGGGTTTCTGCCGAGAGATCCACTGTGAGTCTGATGGGCTTCCCTTTGTGGGTAACCCGACCTTTCTCTCTGGCTGCCCTTAGCATTTTTTCCTTTATTTCAACCATGGTGAATCTGATGATTATGCCCCTTGGGGTTGCTCTTCTTGAGGAATATTTTTGTAGTGTTCTCTGTATTTCCTGGACTTGAATGGTGGCCTGGCCTGCTAGGTTGGGGAAGTTCTCCTGGATAATATCCTGAGGGGTGTTTTCCCACTTGGATTCATTCTCTCCGTCACATTCAGTTACATCTATCAAACATAGATTAGGTCTTTTCACATAATCCCATATTTCTTGGAGGCTTTTGTTCATTTATTTTTATTTTTATTTTCTAATCTTGCCTTTTCATTTTATTTCATTGCATTGATCTTCAATCTCTGATATTCTTTTGTCTGCTTGGTCAATTCAGCTACTGAAACTTGTGTAGGCTTCGCGTAGTTCTTGTGTTGTGTTTTTCAGCTCCATCAATTCATTTATATTCTTCTCTAAGCTGTTTATTCTTGTTAGCATTTTGTGAAACCTTTTTTCAAGGTTCTTAGTTTCTTTGCACTGAGATAGAACATGTTCTTTTAGCTCAGAGAAGTTTGTTATTACCCACTTTCTGAAGCATGTTTCAGTGAATTCATCAGACTCTTTCTCCAGCCATCTTCCCTTGCTGGTGAGGAGTTGTGATCCCTTGGAGGAGGAGAGGCATTCTGGTTTTGGGTGTTGTCATCCTTTTTGCACTGGTTTCTTCCCATCTTTGTGGATTTATCTACCTGTGGTGTTTGTAGTTGGTGACTTTTGGATGGGGTCTCCGAGTGGACATTCTTTTTGTTGATGATGAAGTTATTTCTGTTTTTTAGTTTTCCTTCTAACAGTCAGGCCCCTCTGCTGTAGGACTGCTGGAGGTCCTCTCCAATTCCTGGCTGTCTGGGGATCACCTGCGGCAGCTGCAGAATAGTAAGGGTTGTTGCCAGTTTCTTCTCTGTTATCTTTGTCCCAGGAGGATACCTGCCAGATATCAGCCTGAGCTCTCCTTTATTAGGTGTCTCTTTGGATATACAGGGGTCAGGGAGCTGCTTGAGGAGACAGTCTATCCCTTATAGGAGCTCAAGTGCTGAGCTGTGAGCTCTGTTGTTCCATTCAGAGCTACTGAGTGGGTATGTTTAAGTCTGCTGCAGCAGAACTCATAACCGCTTTTCCCCCCCGGTGCTCTGTCCTGGGAAGGTGGGGCTTTATTTATAAGTTCCTGATGTGGTGCTGCCTTTTTTCAGACATGCCCTGTCCAGCAAGTAGGTAGCCTAGTCACAGTCTGCCAGCAGAGGTGTTGCTGAGCTGTGGTGGGCTCTGCTCAGCTGCTGTGTGAACTTCCTTGTGGTTTTGTTTATAGAGGTATAGTTAGAACTCCCTCGGTAATGGTGGTTTGCCTCAGTAATGGTGGTCTGCCTCAGTAATGGTGGTCTGCATCAGTAATGGCGGATTGTCTCTGTAATGGCAGACTGCCTTGGTAATGGCAGATTGCCTCCGTAATGGCAGACTGCCTCGGCAATGGCAGACACCCTTCTCCTGACAGAGGTGGTCTGTCCTGGGTCCAGCTGTGCTTGCTGTGAAACTCTCAATCCAGAGCGTTTCAGATTGCTGGTCTTTGTAGGGGTGGGGGACCTGCCAAGCCAAATCACCTGGCTCCCTATTTCAGCCCTCTTTTTTTCAGGGGAATGGGTGACTCTGTCTCCCAGGCATTCCAGACACCAGTTGAAACGGCCATCCAGATTTGTGTGAGTTTTTGTGAGGAGTCCCGCTGCACTGGCTGAAACAGCCATGCTGGAGACTCATGGTGCTCTTCTGTCTGGGAATCTCCTAGTCTGTGGGCAGTAAAAACTCATTTGGAAATGCAGTGATCACTCACCCTCTGCATTCTCTCTGGGAACTGTACTCCAGAGCTGTTCCTATTTGGCCATCTTGGACCCGTTCTCTGTGTAATATATCTTTTGAGGCAGGCAGAAGGGTCAGAGGTAATAGTGGCAAATGTGTAAGAGACTGTTTCCAAGCCACCTGCCAGAAGTATTCAAAAGCATAATACCTGGAACTGAGTGATCTAGTTACCAGGGCTGGCTCTGTGCAAAACTTTTGGCAAAGATCATTGTGGTTTTTGGTACCTCTTTCCCTCTACTGCTCCACTATGCAATTCCTGCTCCTCAGTGAGCTCATGCTCTGACCACGTTCTCATTTACATTGTGAGATGTACATTGTTATTGTTTACATTGTGAGATGGGGGCCATTTCATCCTACAGAACTACAATTCACTGTCAAAAATGGTATTGTGAAGTTATACCTCATCTCTACTAAATTTTTTTTTTTAAATTAGCCAGATGTGGTATTGCATGCCTGTTGGTCTCAGCTACTTGGGGGGCTGGGGCAAGAGGATCACTTGAACCCAGGAGTTCAAGGCTGTGGTGAGCATGATCATGCCATTGCACTCCAGCCTGGGCAACAGGGGAAGACACTGTCCACACACCCCCCAAAAAAAGATGCTGTGAAACTATACTTCTATTGTAGAGCAGGGGCAAGGATGAGAGATTGTGCCAAAATTTCATTTTAAGGACTATTTCTAATTGTAGAATAAAAGTATGTTTCCTATTAAAGGAATTTCAGGTATTAATCCAACAGATGGGAGAGATGTTTGGACCAGGAAGCTTTCTTGGCACCCTTAGAATCAGAGGTGCCTTCATATAATGCCCTGACCAGACTTGACTTCTGAAGGAAAACAAAGGAAAAACATTATTATAGCTCTAATGAAAACCTGGAACCTGTTATTCTCAATGATCACTGTGTGGCTTGCATTGCCAAGGTGGCTTCACAGGTAAAGGGGCCCTGGAAACTATAAACTGATGAGTGTCTGGTTCTTTAGTAGGCAAGCTGGAAGAATCTTTAATAAATCGTAGCCTCCTGTACACAAAAGCCATCAATCTATTGAGTTGTGGGTGGCATCATGGTTTTTGTAAAGGGAAATCATGTGTAGTCTTCTATAGGTCTTTTCTTTGGAGCTAAACTTACTTTAAAAATGCTTCTGATTAAGTTTGATACCAAAGCTATTTTAAAACATGAATTACCATGGGATTTAAAATAACTTTAAATATTTTTTTTTATCATGTAATAGAAACCGGTCTACAGAAAAAAAAGAAAATATAGGGTAGAAACAGATATTTTTTCTGACTGAAGAAGGATAAATAGTAGACTTCCTTGGGGGTAGGCACTGGGAAATCCTCAAGTCTGCAGATAATACTCAGCTTTCCCAGGCAGTGAAATACCAAGTTGATGGGAGATAAAGGAAGATCTCAGGAGGTTTTATGATTAGCAGATAAGCTTCAATAGGAGCATATGTAAGGTGATCCATTTAGGGAGCACTAGATATTGCAAACTATGCTTGCAGGATGATGAGTGCTGACCTTTCAATTAAGACCCAGCAAAGGGCTCCAGGAAAAACTATGGATAGTGCACTGAAGAGAACAACTT